TGTTTATATTTTGGAAATGATAAACCAGTATATACTCGATATAAAATAGACAAATTTGAGCTTCAGTTAAATAAAATCTCAAGTAAACTCTTTTGTCTTCTTTCATCCAAGAAAACAGAAAAGTGCTACTCTTTTTAAACTGAGCAATTACATCATACCATTAGAGAAAACACTTATATTTGGGTTTCAGTGTTCTTTACCAAAACTGATGAGATCTGAAGTCATCTTCTGTTTGAGCACCCATGTATTATAAGGGTGGTACAAGACTTTTAATGGCATCCCAGAAGGAATTTATGAGAAAAGTAGTGCTACAAAAACATTTTATTCAACTGATGTCTTCCTCAGCATGTATTTCCATGCTTCTATTTTAAAACTGAGTGACTCAAGCTATATCTCACTGAATAGCACTTCTGCACAAAACACTGTTATCTCTGCTGCTCCTGACAGTTTTCAGTAAAACTTAACTAGATTTATGGTTCATTGCACAGGGATCTAATTCTATTGTCATAGCTATCAAAACGTGAATAACTCGCCGCATCTAGGAGTCAGATCATCTATATGTCAGTGGGAAAAGAGGACTGAGAAAAGTAAGTCATCAGTAACAAGTGGGGGAAAAACAGGTGGTGAATTAATTTCCTTTGTAAAACTCTCTATACAGCCAGATCATTGGTTTTCATTATATGATTTCTAGTTTATATTCTAAAATCTAATGGGTGATGTTAAAAACATGGTCTTGAGGCCTAAGCTGTGAAGAACACTTACAGGCAGTAAACTAAGTGTTATCAGAGAAAACCTGGCTGAAACCTCAAACAGAAACAGCTACTGGGAGTAGCATCTAATTTAAACAAAATGATCAGTTGTGCTTTTCAGACTACAGAGATCGTTTGCAGCTCTGTGAGATTATTCTGAATGTTGCATTTTCCTACCTTTTATGCAGTAACATGGTCAATCAAGGAGCAATGGAAAAGATGCTTCTAGAGAGCACTGCTTTATAACAGTGGGCTTCTTGCCAAGAGTTTGAGAGACAGATCAAATGTACATCTTATGGAAGGCTTCAACACGTAGAACACAGCGAAGTCCCACCTAAACATGGAGACCGTTTTACTGTGACAGTAATGACTACTCTGAAGTCCACCAGAATCAAAGGAAATTTTGTTACTGACTTAATGGGGTTTGGATCAAGCCCCAGGTAATCAGGTACATGTATATACTAATGCAGATTAGCAGATCCAAAGGAGTATAGGGACCTATCGTAAATATTGCTCCTAAAGCTGGCAAATTGATTGTTACCAGAACAGTGTTACTGAGAAACAGTGTAATGAGGAACAATAAGGATTAGAGAGATTTATCCTTTTAGGACCTTCTACTACAGCTACAAAAGTTACTGTCCTGGGCGCAGTACGGAAAACTGTATTTGGACATGTGAAAAGTTTGCAAAAACAAGGTATAAAAAAAAGTCTAAGACACTCACCTGGTGACTAGTTCATGTCGTAGACCTTTGATCTTCCTTTCTAGACCGCTGTGAGCCTGAATTAGGGGTTGTGCAACTTTCACAATCATCTGTGACTCATCTATGTGAGCATTTACAGGTAAATCCTAGTTAAATTTGGATTTAAATTTGTTTGCGGCCCTGGTAGCCAGGAGTTTAGTTTGTTCTGGTTTATGTCTATACAACCCACATCCATGGGCAGGAATAGCTGAGGTAAGGACAGTTGGCCAGGGTGCTGGATGCTAGAATAGGAAGTTAACCCCAGTCCACAGTGTGTCCTTGCTGTCTGGACAACTGCCCAACTGCTGGCTTTCAGTTATGAAATGTTAGGATTTGGGCTTACAGTATCACAGCTCAGGTGGATCTGCAATTGCACTGCTCAAGACATCCACTCAGCTTCTAGGAAACTGTTTCTTTTTCTGTTCAGCAATAATAATGCCAGCAATAAGAATCATATAATCTTAGAATGATTTCCATTGGAAAAGACATTTAAGATCACCCAATCCAAGTGTTAAGTTAGCACTTCAAATCCACCACTAAGCCATATTCCTGAATGCCACATTTACAGGTCTTTCAAATATCTCCAGGGATGGTGACTCCACCACTTCCCTGGGCAGCCTGTTCCAGTTCTTGACAACCCTTTATTCCAGCCTTATTTCCAGTCCACCCAAGTCGGAAAAATAGTAGAGAAATAGAGAAGAAAAAAATTATTTTCTGAGTCACCTCCAAAGTGGAATGTTCGTTTCTCCCCACTGAAACCTAGTGGGGGAGAAAACACTATCAAGAATAGGGTAGACATGGAGAAAAAAATGTTTATGGGCATTATCCAAAACACTACAGATATCCTGATTATCCTGATACCAGCTGCAGCAAAACTGTCCTGATGCTTTCTAACAGAGGATGGGTAAATAACGAATCAAAACAATCAAGAGCAGTAGTCAATGATGGTTTTCTGTTTCTTATTAAAACATTCAGTGTTAAAATCACCATTGTACCTTTCCACGTATATATTTAGAGTGGTTGTTTAATGTAGCATTTGAGACTGCATTAAAAGATATTGCACAAGTAATTTAATCTATATAATACTTTTTGAAATATAATTTGATTTGAGAGGTGCTATGAAGAAAACAGTTCCATCACAGAATAGGATCCTCTGAGCAAGTCTGCATACACAACAGCTCAGAAATGAATCCAGAAGCATCTTTTGCCAAAGTCTATACAGCAGGGTTTTGGTTTTGAGGGGTTTTGAGGTTTGGGGATTTGTTTTGTTGGGGTTTTCTTGATAGCTTCATCTAACAAGTAGAAATACTTAATATTTAAGTGTTTAGAAATGTTAAAATTATTATCCAAATTATCAAAAACTTTTGCCCCTTTCTCAAGATTTCCAAAAGTGATAACTGCAATGTATCTGTGTCTGTGCTTTAAGAGTACATGGTTTGGGACATATTACACAGATATTTATGAATGTGTTTGCCATGAGCCTCACAGTTATCCAGCCTGTACAGCAGGTGCTCATGGCAGTGTGTAGGCTACACTTTTTCCATACCTAAGTAGGCACGGACAGAAGGTAGGAGGCAAAGGAGCAGCAGAACATTCATCACTCCTGCTCTGAGAGCAGCTACACAGCCCTAAAGCCCAGACATGGCTTTCAGTGTAAAGTTCTGTTAATATACAAATTTCTACTAACCATGTACTGCTGACCAGAGTGGCACAATATTAATATGCAAGAATATAAAAAGAGACAAAAAGCCTAAGAGTATTAATAAATCAAAACTCTCTCTTGTGAAACCTGAAGCAGGATGACTTACAGTTTGATCAAACTATGAAAAATAGAAATCGAACCCAAGAAAGACCAGAGCTACGCACCACTCTTGTCTCAGCTCCACCACTTCCCAGACATCAGTGGGGCTTCACTCACAATGTAGGCAGTTTCTCCAGTACCAGCCAAATCTTTCACAAGGGAAAAACTCAGCTGAAAGACTTTTTCTGATGCAACATGAGCTATGAACTGGATGAGTCAGAATCAGCTCCCTCATGAGGACTCTGGCACTGAAACCTCCAACCATGACACTATTAACAGTGGTGGTGACAAATTGAAGTCTGGGGCATGGGCCTTGACAATTCTGCCAAAGGTTGCCAGTAAAAGAGGGACTGTGACCTGCAAGCCACTTTGTGCATCAGTCCCATACTGAAGGCGTTGGCAGGTCACTAAGGTTGTGGGCAGGGGTGTGGGCACCCCTGAGCCTTAGCTCTCCAGTGGAAGTTATTCATACCAAGGTTCTTTCTTAGCATACAGTTGTCTCAGTTTGGACCTAAGTATCATGCTTGTTTCCTAAAATAAGCATTTAAAGCTAGGAGAAGAAATTTGTCCTTAGTGAGATATATACAAATCCTGGAATTTAGAGTAACTTTACTTTCCCAAAGCAGGATTACAACTGTGTTTCCAAACACTGGAGACCAAAATGAAGCAGAATAAGCCAAACCCTTCTGGTTTCTTTTCAATCCCTTTTCCACTCATCTAACTAGTATTCTCAGTATCATAGAGGACTATCCTCCCTAATTCTACGCCAACATCATTCTACTTGATTCCATTTTGCTTCACAATGGCAAAAGCACCATGTAGACCTATGGCACTAAATTAGTCTAATAATATCGTAAAGCAAAACCCCAAAACAATTTGGTGTTTTATATCTTCAGATTTTTACCTCTTCTAAATCTTTACTTCAGCACTCAATTTCATTCTAAGGTTAGATTCCTTTCTAAGTTGCATCAAGACTGTAAGAATGAAAATCTCAGTAGGGTGTTTAGATGTCATAGGCTGGAGCATAAGAATTAGAAGAGAGCATCCAACTGCTATAAGCAGTCAGAAATTAGTCCAAAGGGAAAAGACACACACATTTGCAGAGTGGCATGAGCAACCAAAGTTTCTGCAAATATACTCATGTCTGCTGTAAAAGACCCCTCACATATATTGACATGCTGAGGATGGTGGTTTCCTCTGGTCCCCTGGCCACACTGTCTCCCTGAGGGCTCCTGTTGTGTGGAGGTGAGTTTATTTGCTGTTTATAAGGAGTGGCATAAAGTAAGTTTCCCCTTAACACTATTAATAGACATAAAGCTGTTAGTGTAGTTAACAGCAGTAACCACCATACGGCTGTCTAAGGCCTTTTATAAACTATTCACTCTTTCACTTACTGATGAAAAGAATTGCACTAATTGTCAACTGTTTTCTCGACAAACTGCCTTCAGTGCCATTGCCTCGTGGTTTTCCTTGCTCGTTCTCCCCCCTCAGCAGGGACCTGGCCCCGTCCCAACGGCAGTACCTCCCGCCGCTGCCGTCGGAACCCCTTCCTCAGTCCCTCTGCCGTCCCGGTACCTACGGGGCAGCCGAGGCAGCTCCGTCCCCCCTGCGCGGGTTGCGCCTCGCCGGGGCAGTCCCTCCTGCACGGGGAGGCGGGCGGGCACACGTGGGGCGGGGAGATCCGCCGCCCTGCCTTTCCCCGCGCCGGCGAGAGGAGCCTTAACGGCGGCTGTCCCCGGCGGCGGGGAGGGCTGGCAGGGAGGGAGCGGGTGGACCCGCCGGGGCCGCAGCTGGCGATGCCTCCCCTGCTGCCGGGGGCCCCGCGCGGCCCGAGGGCAGCCTCCGCCGCGGTGCCCCGCCGAAGCCCGGTGCGGGCCGGCGGCTGCGGGGCGCGGGGGGCCGGTACCCGCCGCTAAGCCGCTACAGCGGGAAGGGAAGAGGAAAGGGGAGCGATGTCCTCGCTGGTGAAGGAGGACCTGGCGAAGAGACTGTTCGGGCCTCGGCGGCGGCGGCTACAGGAATTCATCGAGGTGGAGGGCTCGGGCGCCGGGCGCTGCTACCTGTGCGCCGCAGGTACCGGGGCGGCGGAGCAAGGGCACCCAGCGAGAACCAGCTGGTTTGCGACAGGAGGGTGCAGCGGCAGGGGTGCGGGTTGTGAGAGGATGCCCGGTCTGCTGCTACACGAGCAAGCCATTCCTATAGTTCTGATTAGGCTTTCCGCAAGAAATCATAACCATACATTAACATTGCGGAAAACATTTGTGACTTCTAGAGCTTCTGCACCATTCCTTGTCTTGGTCTAATGTCACACATATTGTCCCAGTTAGTCCAGGAACAATAAATTAGACTCGTGGTTTAAATAAATACACATCTGAATTAACAATTGGCACGAGCTGTGAGTGAAACAAGATTGCTGTGATAAACTTACTTATCTGTCTACTTAAATTTAATTTCAAATATATCTTTCAAAACGTTTTTAGAACAAAGTTTTAGAAAAGCTTATTTGTCTTTTACTTCACAACACTGAAAGATGATAAAAAAGAGAGGTGCTCTCATCCCTAAGTAGGTAGGTTGATGCAAATGCTTCTTTTCAGTCTGTTTCGTCTTCAGGTTCAAAATATATATAGATAGAAATAACCTATGTATTTGAGACATAGATTGGGTTAACATCCAATATGGGATGATGTCAACTGTATTCTGTTATCATTATCTTTCTAAAAAGTCTGAAGTCTTCAGAAAGTTTAAATTGTTTCACAGATTACTGGAAATTCCGAGCAAGCCATGTTCCCCGTGCACATGTAATTTTAATAGACTTTGTATTTTAGAGCTGTTAGAAATTGATTCCTGAATGTCTTAAAGCTTCTAAATGTACAGAAACACCAACCTGGTTCATAGTTTTTAAAACTATCTGGTAGAAATATGTTTAGTTGCATATGGTAGATAGCCATTTCGCCATTATCAAGCACCCAAAGAGGAGAAATAACATTACATACCTTTAAAAACTTTACTAAAAACTCTTACTAAGGTAGAGTAGAACAAGTCATTAAAGAAAGCTCTTACTCAGATCAACTGATTGGAAGTCCCTGAAACATGAAGGAATATTTCTATAGAGTATTAAGAGTGGGATGTCTCCAGTATCCAGTATCAAAGTCTCTTAATATATTGAGGCATAGTCAAGTAAGTGGTGACTAGAGTGGAAATTCGATTCTGAAAGATGGGTTGCATCCAGCTGCCAGCTAGCTGCTGCAGTCTGCTGTGATTCTGTAGGAGCAAAACACATTATCTAAAATCTTATCCCTGCAATGCAACCTCAGTCTATGCTTGTTGAGTTCAGATTACCATAGGCAAAATTAGAAGTCTGTGCCTTTTGAAATCTATGCTACAACAGAATCTTACTGTGGATAATTGAACAATCATATTTTTGTTCAAGATTATTTTTGTCCAAGGTTATGTCCCTTCCAAGATTATGTCCCTTCCTCTTCCCCTTAGCAAGTCCCAGTTCTTTCACGAAGACTTTCTTTAAACAGTTTTATAAACACTGGAAGCATTTAAAGTGGAAATGCAACCACATTCTGGGATTTTCACAACCCATTATTGGTGTGCCTGAGAAGAATGATAAGGTTAACATCATGTAGTCCAACAGAGACTCTGAAAAAGGTGTTCAGTCCATGAAAGACCTTAAGAAATGTTGGTGCTCTGTGAAGGCATTGCAATACCAACCCTCCCTAACAAAAGTTTTCAGAGTTTAATAGAACTGAAGCAGCTGATCTCAGCTTATGTTCTATATGAAAAAATTACATTGTCTTTAATTCTATTAACTGAGTGAAGATCAAGCAATATGTAAAATGCAGGGAAAGTCAGGAATATTTTGTTGCTGTTGTTGTTAAGAATAGTCCACCCAAGTTTCACCACTGGGAAGGACACACTCCTGGTTTCACTGCTGCTAACACATCTGTGCTCTGTCCTTCTGTCATACGATTTCTGCTGCTAGCTGAGGGGTAGAGAAGTGGCAGCATGTGGGACCTAGGGGCCCCTAGGACATCCCCTTGTATTTCCAGCAGGAGTGGGGACTCTTGGGCTTGGGCTTGCTTCCTTTTGCTTTAACTCTGAGGGAGACAACATATTCCTTCACAAGCAAGCAAACAAAATGGTAGAAACTAAAACTATGAAGAGAACTTTCTAATATTACCCTACTAGGTTTGCTTGCAAATAGAAACCATTGTAACTTCTCCACAGAAGACTACACAGTGGTGATCCTCAGGTTAAAAATCATTGAGAAGCTATGTCTGATAGGACCAGGAGAGAAAGTGACAGTGATTTGTATTTCCCAGGCGGGAAAGCTATAGGCTGAGAGAAATTATAATAAATTCATATATTTTCCACTGTTTTTATTTGCAATGGAAATAAGGCATATCTCCAGCATCTATCTTTTGTTTGTCTTTATTTAATAACAACTTTCTTATAAACAGGTAAGAGACGTTTTAACAGGAATAAGATAAAATTAGTTACGTTTCATGGTAGTTTTTAAAAAAATTCAGGAAGGATTTGGAAATAGAAGAATTTTGCTCCTGTATCTGTACCCTCATGCTGTGATGTTGAAACGATCCTGCCAGACATAGGTGACATCTTGCCCTTACTTTAAGTTATTGGATGGCTGGGGGGAAGTGGCCTGCCCTCCAGCCGTCATGCTGGATGTGCAGGAAATTGTTCAGGCTCCGGTGCTTTTCACTCTTATTATCGTGTATTACAGAAATCCAGTCTCCTACACAGTACTCAGTGTAATCAATTAATAATGGTAGTTATTGCAAATAGTGTCTTGGGGCTTTTTTTACTCTCATGTCCTGCCTAAGTCAGAAAATAGTGAATTCTGCAAAGATAACACTGGACAACTCAAAGCTTTAAGAAATGTTTTTGATGTTGTTTTTCTTAAATGGCCTACTTACATATTTTATAGGGAAATGAAAATTTTGCTTTGAAAAAGTAATGGCTTTTTCAAAAAAGTAAGAGAACTTCATCCATGGAATGAAAAGTATAGCACCAGTCATGTAAATACAGAGCTCTGGTAGCAGTTCTACAGTTTTTTGGTTGGAGTCCAGCATCCCAAAAGATTGCCCTTGAAGTAAGTAGAAGTGGATTATCCATACTGATCCAAGGCCAGAATTACGCTGTCATTGGGCTGTGAATGTGTCTTGTGTCTTGTGAATTCAGATGAAAGGCTTTGCACAGACAAAATTCTCTTTTCACAGGGACTCTTCATCAGAGACTATAGTGATAGGACAAGGAGTAATGGCTTTAAACTTAAAACAGGGGAAGTTCAGGTTAGATATGAGGAGAAGTTCTTCATTGTGAGGGCAGTGAGGCACTGGAATGGGTTGCCCAAAGAAGTGGTAAATGCTCCATCCCTGTCAGTGTTCAAGGCCAGGTTGTACAGAGCCTTGTGCAATATGATCTAGGGTGAGGCATCTCTACACATGGCAGGGAGGTTGGAATCAGATGATCTTAAGGTCCTGTCCAACCCAAGCCATTCTATGATTTATTCTATGATTTATTCTATGATTCTATGATGAACAAGGTAAATCCTGAATCTACTAAAAGCTGACAGGTTGCACAGACTGAGAAAGTGGTGGTTTTCCTACTACTTGGGCAAAATAAAACTACTAAATCCAGATTAACCCTATGCAGCGCTGTACATCATTATTTAAGTTATTATCTAAAATGTAGCATGATTGAGTCTTTTCTTACCAGAACTTTTGGGAAGTACTTGCTTGCATATCTAAACTGTTTTTTTTCTTTCAGTGACTAAAAGTGAAGAAGTAGAAATATGTATGGTTAAACACTTGCGAGTGGATCTAGAGGAGAAATATGAAATACTTGAAAAATGGTTTTTGAAAGATCTGGAGATGATTGATGGAAAAGAAGCAGACACTGTAAGTGTTATATATTATTAAATACATATAATAATGTATACTTTTCTTGTGTTGCAATTTGGGATACAATATTAAAATGCAATTAAAACACATTGTATGAAAAAGTAATGTATAAACCAAAATAAATCAAACCTTCACAGAATTTCGGCTTTATTGCCTATGAGAGGCTCCACATCACATTTACACATCACAGTGTAAATTGGAGTTAATCCCATAGATTTTAATGTGTGCTTGAAAACAAAGCTTTGCTTAATATTTTTATGAAGGTTATTATCCTGTCATTTGACTGTATGAATTGGTTATCTGTGTGAGAAAATCAACATCACAAAAGTGCACTGTTTGGCATAGCAGTGCACGAAACAGTGCCTCTTTCACATAGCTTAATCTCACAATACTTGGATCAATTAAATATTTGTATATTTGTGTGTGTAAATATGAAACTGCTTTGGCTAGATGGGGCTGATCTTACTGCTAAAAAAGTCCTCATCTCTCAGATAAAAGTGCAGAAAGGAAAAATGGGGATGCAGTAGTACATTACAGAACACCAAAAGTAGAATTAAATCCTATTTTACAAAAGATAGAAGAATACGCTGAGGAGAATATCTTACTGCATGTATGAGAAGTCATTTTAATGGTTGTCCATGCATAATAAATGTCGTCCAGGAAAAAAAATAAAATTACCTTTTTCCCTTTCAAAGTGCTTTCAAACAAGCATAAAGTAGAAGTTAGATTATATGATGCTAGTGAAAGAGAAACCAAGAGCCCCCAGGAGAGGTTTCAGAGCCTTGTTCCAAGGAGAATGACAAACTGTGGTTGTTCTTATTCTGTCCTACGCACAATATGCACATCACTCTCAAGCCTAAAACTAGGAACCTGGGAGATGGAGGAGGTGAGCTCAGCTTCAGAGTATCCCTGCATCCTGTGAGCTCTTTGTAGTTTAAGCCAAGGTTGGAGGGAAGCCAAAACTAATAATACTTCACATCCCCTCTCCAAGTTATCTTGCTTCTGGATATGTTGCCATCCCTTCCCCAGCCAAGGCAGCCAGAGTTTCCTTACCACTTGCTTGCACGAATTTACTTTAGCTTTTTTCTGAAGTGTTGTGCTAAAATATCCTTCAGAGATGAATCAGCCTCCCTCAACTGATATGATCAAAATCTGTCTCATTTCTAGTTAAAGAAAAGCATAAATGAACCTCAAACTCATAATTATGCAGTGATTAACTCTGCTATAAATATTCATAATAGTTTTTCATATCCATAGAGTTTAACAGAAGTGAGCTGCTGCTAGGATTAATTGTGCCAGAGCCAGAAAGGGCAGAGAATTACTATTTTGGCAGGAAGGGCAATCAATATTCTTCTTCTGACAGGCAGATGTTGTTATAGTCCAAGGCAAGTGCTTTTCATATAGTGTGTTTTAGGCAACATGACAAATTGGTTCATTTCAAAACAAGATTTTATAATCCAAATAAAGTGCAGCATACTGCTTGGCCAAACTCTGAAAGTTCTACTCAGGCAAAACTCCTAATGGCAAAGAATTGCAGCTAATTATAAATTGCCACTCTGAAGTTTTAAATGATCCTTTAGTATCAATAGGACAAGTAGGCAAAGTCCTTTTCAAATGGAGAAAATCAAAAGGAGAAAAAGCTCTGAAGGTAGCTGGGCAGAGAACAACAGCTGATTGCCATTCTAACACCTGTAATTTCATTCTGTCTCCATTTCTTCAGGATAATCCATATTTTGATATGCACTTCCACAAAGTCTACAACCTGGAAGCATATAGTTGTGCGTCTAAATATACCTTTGCTCGAACGCTGAACAAACTCAATGAAATTTACCTTAAGAAGGACTTGAAGATTGTGAACTTTGATGACACCTACCTAAATGATGATTCAATATGGTCATCAAACAATAGGGATTGCTTGGTACTTATGAGGATATGCTTCTATGCTTCCAACCTTTTGTGTCTCTCCCTGTGTCCTTTGTCCTAAAGATGCATTTTCTAACATTAAGGCAACTGGTTGACTTTCACTGACCAGCATTTCATAAATCATCTGATCAAAAAGATAGTAAGTGATATGCAGTATCTGCTTTATAATTTAACATATAAGTAACAATTGGAACATACTTTTTACATAAATGATTGTCCATTCATTTATATATATTAGGAGGGCCTCGCTCTGGCAAATACTTACAAATATATGAGACTTTCAACATAGAACCAGTAATTTTCATAGTCAGTGGTGATTGCTTATGTAAGTAGAAGTCAGCATTTTCTCACATGTTCATGGGGGTATAAACTATCTTTCATTAATAGCCTGAAATATTTTTAAAGCATTAGCAGCATTAACAGTTAATTTATGTTGTGGAAGTAGATACAAGAAAGCAACCAAATTAGTTCTGTATAAGAATGATGCACATTTCCATTTTCAAATGGAATATAAATGTAGATATAAATGTAAGATATAAATATAGAACTCTGTTAAAGGGATCACACCTGCATCAGTACAAGAATCAAACCCTCATTCTGATGAATTGCAGTTTTGCATTCAGGTACCATGGGACCAACTTCTCACCTGTGCACTTACATTATTTTCCCTCAACTTTAAGTACTCCCTTTGGTCTTCCCATTATTTAAGATACTGTCTTAGAAACAGAAAGGGGATTTCTTATGGAGAATTGCTTTCTTTGTCAGACCTTTTGAAACTTCTTTTCTTTTGTATCATTAACATCTTTCTTGCACTTCATTGCTTATGTATATGAACAGGCCTGGTTAAGAGAACAGAAATTGTTATGTCTCTAACTCTGAACAAAGAGTTAACAAAATACTATGTAAACAGTAGTTGTTGACTACTACAGTTACTTTGTAGACAAGTGATAGACTTTTAAAAATTCATAAAACTGAGAGTAATTTTGTCCAGCTTCTAGCTATGTGTTAGTATATTCAGTGCGCTACTTAAATGTGTGTTAGTACTTACGAGTTACATTTAACATGGGGTGGAGCCTACTGAGTGGTTTGGAATGTCTCACCCTTAACAAAAAATGAGGGCTGGACTTGTGACAGTATATCACAGTAGAAACAGGATGAATTAAAGCTGTATAGAGCAAGAGCTGAAGAGGAGCGATTTTGACAGTAAGAAGCACAAATATACTGCCAAGAGTCAGTCAGCTAAGCTAGTTGGCTGCTCTTTGCATACTCCATTAAGAAATGCCAACCCAGAAGGTCATTCAGAGAAGCTTCTGGTGAGAACATACTGCAGGAGAAAATTTGATTTCTCTTTTGGTAGCAACGAGAATAGGAAGACTAACTGTGGAGTAAACCAGCTACACACCTAAAGCTGACTGACGTAAATAGCTCCTAGGAAGTCTCAAGCTGGTTAATGTCCTTGCTCAGTACCTGCCACCTGTAAAATGGAACAGGCGCACAAGGGTACTGTGACTTGTATTTCACTGTTGTCTTCCATGTGAACTCCCTCCTTTGAAAACATTTACATAAATGGATTCAAAATAAAAATAATATCAAGTAACTGAGAATATATTTGAAAAACTGTATAAAATGTACAGCTTTTTACTTTAATTTTTAAAAGTTATCCTATTGATTGTATATAGGAAAGGCCATACCTTGATTAGCTGATCTTCAGAAACTATATGTTTATTCTAGGCATAGGTTGTAAATTACATTTGTTCTAACCCAAATCTGAGTAATCATGTATATCTTGACAATTGTGAGGGCAGTTTATGTGGGTAACACATATATTCTGGTTTTTGTAGAGACTGAAGTCTTATATTTGCCACCTAAATATTGTTAGAGAGAAGGACTGTATTTATAGTAATTGTTTATGTAATGCAGTTGCTCTTTATGGCATGTCTGTGGGATAATACAGCGCAAGTATCTGTGTTGTAACATTTGACCCGTAACTATAAGAAGTATTTGCCCAACAACGAGGTTCCACAAAACCATCTTCAATAGCAAGCATAATTTAGACTACTGTTATCTATTATACATTGTCGTGTTTGGGTGATGTACTAACTTTAGAGGTCACAATGTTTTCTCTAATGTGCTTAATAGTCACAAGGAAATAGTTTCTGTGTTGAAGAGCTTCCATCGTTCATCTTGAAATAAAAGCACAGACCTTCTAATGATAAGCACTTCAGAGCATTCTTTTGAAGTAAAGTATAGTGAATTCCTGACCAGAAATTGTATTGTATTAGAAACTGATAAGCTAAAAATGGCTGTAACGTTCAACCTTATTTAACAGACTTGCATTAGTAGTTTGTATATTTCTACTCTTGTATTGTATAAACATTAAACTGACTGTATTAAAAGATAAATAATACTGCATTTTATGTGGAATAATACACAATTAAAACCTGTTTGGCATTGATAACATAACATTTCAGACATTCTTCACTAAGTGCTTAGACTAAACAAAAGGAGAAAAAGGGACATTGTCCACGTGAATTATTTAAGTTATTATCAGAAGAAAAAACACTTTAAATGATCTTCGTGGACCTAGTCTAGAGCCTTCTTACATTTACACAGTTCTTTGTAAGATGTCACATACCAAGACACTATGTAATTGCTGACTGGTCTGATTGTGCTATGGAAAGTCTTTGTCCTGAGGTGCAGTAGACTCATTTCATACAGTGCAACAGCAGCACAGGACATGGAGAGTACTCTAAATTACAAATGGAAAAGACCTGACAGGCTAAATAGCCCATCTTTCAATTAATAAAGAATTGTTTTCTACATCACATTTCCTGACACTGGATACACAGAATGTAGTTTGAAATACAGTATATGGTGATTCATCTGCTACTCCTGAAAGACTTCTCCAAAACTGAACAGGAGAAAACTTACAGAAGGATTATCACAAATGTATTTGTAGCAATCTTATAGAAGGTTTCAACTAAATGATGGAGTGAACTGATACTTGAGATTGTGGATATAATTGGGACTTTCTTCAGAAGTCAGAAATTTTTATCAGCTGTATCTGTTCCATAGAAAAGTAAAAATAGGCATCCTTAAAATGAGGAAGAGTGATAATGAGCAAACAGAACTCTGTGCTCACTCATTTAAGAGGCAGAAAGAGACTAGTAGCTGTCATAAGAGACTGATGATGTTTGTTTTCCTAAGTGTATTTTTTTTTAAACGCTTTAACCAACATCAGAATTAAGAACATGGGGAAACTTATGACAAAAGAATTTGAGAATATTTTGTATGTAGCATCTATCAATACTGTATTTGTCTCACTCTATAAAAAATACATCAGTTTGCTGTAGCTCCATGCTAGAAAAAACATTTAACATCATTATTCAGATAAGAGATTCCCATATCCATAAAAAATACACTGGTTACATTCCATTGGAATTCATGGATTTAAGATAATTTTCACCACCTAAGACTCGTGACCTTATATTTAAACCAGGACTCTTTTCTTGTGTTTATCATTCATGGATAACCAATCTTTTCCAGCATCTTAAATTAAGCAAATACAGATCAATGCAGAATTTTAAAAACAATTTTGGAAGCGAAACAGAGCAGGGAGGCTGTTCTGGACTGTACCTGCTGATTAGTTCTCATTTTTCTCCTTCATACTTCACAGTCACACATACAGTAACCCACCTCTTCTCAGTGAAAACCTATACCACTTTTTCTGTTATTTACCTGTCATTACCTGTTCCGCAATACCTTCAGTCACTTTCAACATATAAATCTATCTTCTTCCAGTAAAGCTGAGGATTATATTGCATTATTTGTAATATATATTTTAAGAATATTTTGTCATGATTTAAAGTCACTATTGGAAGATCAAAGGCCCTTTCTAAGGAGCATCTGTGGGAAGTTGAAATAGGAGGGGAGTAAATGTCACAGTGCATCCTGGAACATGTCATCGTGTCAGTTTTAACACGTGTAAACTCATTTTAGTGTTAACAAACTACATTTTGCTTTGGGTTTTGTTTGCTTGTTTGTTTGTGTTTTTTAATTTGGTTTTGTTTTTTTTCTCTTTAGCAGAATTAACAGCTAAATACAGGAAATTAGGAGAGGTTTGAGTAATAACACAGCTTTAAGAAACCTTGTCCAATCTTTTATGGCTGCCTTGTCCAGTCTTTATAGATCTAGCCAGAGACAGTTACATTTTGTGGCTGAATTGAGAAATTACCAAACTGTAACTTCTCTTTTAACCTTGGCCCTCATAAATTATATATTGTAGAGGTATACGGCAGGTTGATTTGTAAATCAGAAAAAAGAAGTACATTGAGCAAGACTCCATTGGTCAGTTGTGTTTAATACCTTCAGCCAAGCGGAAAAAATTTACAGAAATTTTACAGAAATGAAGAAAACACGGTTTTACATGTGAAAAATCTACATTTTGGGAATGTGTAACAATTGCTTGGAAAAGACATTTTCTGTTGTTCCTTATCGGTCATGGCCCAGCTACTACATGTTATCAGCCATACCCTAAATACATGCTTATGTATTAACATGAATAAATCAAACAGTTCAAGTAACATGCAGTGATTTCAGCCTTAACTGTGCACGCAAGCACTGAAGAAATACTATATTAATTTACATTAATAACGCTAAAAATGAGTTAAAAGTATTGATGGTGTGGGGAACCTCCACCACAGCAAAGTTTGAACTGGAAGGTAGTTCCAGTTCTCACTGAATTCAGCAGTGGGTACCAGTAGCTACAGCCAGGTTTGGACATAATTTCTCCTAAATTTCATGATCGCTAGTCACAGAGTAACGATTCCCTCTGAATTACCCCTAGCATCAAAGGCTGTCAGTTTCTAAGGGTGCTTCTACTTAGGAGGAAAGCCAGAATCTGAATGTTCTTCACAGAAGTTGTATTAGTGCTGTGACCAAATCGAATTAAAGCATGTAGTCAGAGATGGACTTCACTGTCATTTGAAATCCTAAGCTACTGTCATATTATAATGTATTGCATGCATCTTGCAAGCCCCAGTATACCCACAACTCTTGTGAATATGCTTGTCACCTGGAAGATACAAGACTTAATAACAGCTCTGCCATGAGGTCAGCTGAGAACACAGATGCAAGTTGAAAGGATGTTGGTTTTGCTCTTAGAATCATAGAATGGTTAGGGTTGGAAAGGACCTTAAGATCATCCAGTTCCAACCCCCCTGCCATGGACAGGGACACCTCACACTGAACCGTATCACCCAAGGCCTCCTCCAACCTGGCCTTGAACACGGCCAGGGATGGAGCATTCACAACTTCCTTGGGCAGCCCATTCCAGTGTCTCATCACCCTTACAGTAAAGATCTTCCTTATATCCAGTCTAAATTTCCCGTTTAAGTTTTAACCCATTACTCCTTGTCCTGTTGCTACAGTCCCTAATGAAGAGTCCCTCCCCAGCATCCCTATAGGTCCCCTTCAGATACTGGAAGGCTGCTATGAGGTCTCCACGCAGCCTTCTCTTCTCCAGGCTGAACAGCCCCAACTTTCTCAGCCTGTCTTCATACGGGCAGCGCCCACCCTGGAGTCGGGCAGGCGCCGCCTCAGGAAGGCACGCTCAGAGGGAGGGGAAAGAAGCAGGATCACCCTTCGCTGCACTGCCTAACAACCTCCGCGGTGCTTTCACCACCGCAGAAGCTCGGGGGTTCTCGGTGTTACCGTTCCAGCCCAACCCCATCGCACGCTTTTACTGCCCAGGCCGGCTCGGCACCGCTTTCAGGGCTCATAGCGCAAAGCCCGGTCTAAGGCTTTGCAGCACCCCCAACCCCGAGCCGCTGCCCTGCGCCTTCACACCACGGGGCCCCGCCTCGCGTTACGCTCATCCTCTCCCAAGAGGGCGCTGCGGGAGCTCGATGGGCTTCCTAGCCTGCAGTCTCGCTGCTGGCGTCACGTGAGCGGAAGCGGCAGTTGTGGGCAGCTTTAAGTGCTGGGTGTTCGCAGCTGGAGCCGCTGCTGTTTCCCGTCCGGCCCTGGCCCCTAGCTGAGAGTGAGGTGCCCCCGGCAGCCTCTGCCCCGCCTGTGGCGGCTTGCCGCGGGGCTCGGTTGGACGCACTTTGCTGCGCGGCTCCCCGTGTCGGGGCCGCCGGGCTCGGCGTGGAGCAGTGGCCGCCGCTGCGTCCCGCCGGTGGCAGCGCGGAGCCTTGTCTCTGGGGCGGTTGCTGTGGGACTCGGAGGCCGTGAAGCTGCTGTCGGACGGGCCCGTGGGAGGCGGCCGGTGCTATAAGTAACTCTTAATGAGTTTTCCTCTTAAATGGGTAATCTTTTGGCTGATTGATTTCCGGGGATGTTACAGGCAGTCTGTGCTCTCATGCTGTAAGCCGGCAGGATGCAGGAATCGCATGTTTTCCTGTTTACACGCTTAGCGAGGCTAAACAGTGCTTATTAAGTAGTCTTACCGGATTGCTGTGTAGAATCTTTCCCATATATTTCGTGGGCAGGCTGTCTTTTGCAGCGGACTGAAAGACACGGACTCAGTGCATGATCTGCCTAAGTCGTTTATTCCTTTTTTCTTGTCCTTTTAATAGCTACAGTCAAGGATCCTGACTGTGCAGCCAGACAGGATATTCACGTACTCAGCAATCTCAACCCTTCGAGAACATGCAGACATTGTTCCAGAGTTCTGGAGCAGAAAATCATCAGTTGTGCCCCAGTGTTCTGTGAACAGATCAAGTCATCACAGTCCTTTCTCACACGCTCCTGCACACACTCCTTTTGCACACAGAGCTGTGTACTTTTGAATTCCTGATAGTGGTTGGCCAAGGACCCGTTCTGATTTATAATTCGCTTTTGGAGAGGCGTGATAGAGACATGATTGCATGTCCTGCACATCCTCAGTTTTGAAGCATTCCCACAGTCTGTGATGTCATATTTTTGTTAGATTTCATGTACCTGAGGCCTTGTCAGTAACAGTGCTGGAAAAAAGAAAATAAGAAGCAGCAATATGTAAAGGGACTTACTAGAGTCTGGTGTGGTCTCAGCTCTCTTGAAGCGTTTTTCTGAGGAAGCAGCTTTGTCTCTAGCTCCTTGTGCTTAATTCTGTGCTCCTTTGGGACAACGGGATTAATGTATGAGGAACTTAATGATGTGCTTGGTCTTGGCACGTTCTGAAGGTGGTTGAGTTTGTAACAGAAGTTGGACTGTACATCAGAACAAATCTTTGATCTCAGGTTTAATGTGTCTTATGGGAAAGGTGCATTCTGCACAACCTAAACAGTTCGTGTAGCTGTGAAGTGGGAGAGTTAGCAAGTTGCAGCAGTCTGAATGTGACTTAGAGCAGAAAGTAAAATCCTAAATCAGGAGGATGTTTCTGAAGTGCAGCACCTTGTTGGTGTTTTGTGTGTTCATCTTGCGCACCTGTGGAAGAGTAACAGGAATGATAACATGATGCAATTTGGGAAACAAAAGATGGGCCCAGCAATTGATGAAAGAGGAAGAAAATTGTTAGGCAGCAGCTATGGAGTGTTATATTGCCATGAGGGTGTCATATAAACAGCATCTCTTTGGATGCCCCAAGCTCCATGCACTTGACAGTACTGATTCCAGCTTGGTGTGTTGGCCTTGTTTTCCCAACACTTTGGGGTTACTGATCTTCACTAAAATGAAAGATGTGGTGGTGGCCATCTGAGCTG